ATGCATAACACCAGTATCAATAATAGTGATTAAAGGAGTACTATTAATGAAACATGTACCTCTAATAAGTCCGTCCTCAGCAGTTGTCTGATCCTCCACTAAAGCAAACACCTTACCACTTGACTGAGCCCTCTTCGGTTTCGGACACTGGCTACCAATGTGCCCTTCTTCTTTACAGTTGAAACATATCACATTCTTGTGTTCACACTCAGATACAACATGTTCGTTCTTACCACAACGGTAACACCTCTTCACTTCAATAGTGCACACATTACTCTTGTGCCCAAGTTTCCCACACTTAAAGCAAATCACACCAGCAGGAGCATCTTCTCCACTAGTCCTCTGACCATGAGCAACTTTCTGTTTACCCTTACCAGCTAGGGCATCATAAGGTTTACCACGATTCTGTGGGTGCTTACCCCTCTTCTCGCTGATAATCTTGTAATGAGCATTATTGTCTTCCTTATAAATCCTACAGCTATCAACCAAATCAGTAAAGACACGGATTTTCTGATATCCAACTGCTTTCTTAATCTCCGGGCGCAAACCATTCTCAAACTTAATACACTTTGAAAACTCAGCATTTTCCTCAGCGTAATGCGGATAAAACTTGGCCAACTCAGCAAACTTGGCAGCATACTCAACAACAGACAGATTTCCTTGCTTCAGCTCAAGGAACTCAATTTCCTTCTTACCACGGACATATTCAGGAAAATACTTTCTTAAAAATTCCCTACGGAACACAATCCAAGTGACATTCTCACCTGCAGCTTCTAACTTCTGGCAATTCTCTAGCCACCAGTCATCAACCTCGACTGCTAGCATATGAGTTCCATAACGAACCTTCTGCGCTGGAGTGCAGTCCATCACGCGAAAGATTCTCTCAATCTCTTTCAACCATTCCAATGCTCCGTCGGGATCATATTTTCCCTTGAACGTAGGTGGATTCTCTCTCTGGAAAGTCGCCAAGCTACGGGATCCAGCATTCCCGTCAGTATTCAGCTGATTTTCCATCGCATGAGCCATAGCTTCCAAAGCAGCAGCAAGGGCAGCATCATTCCTTCCAGCCATCTCAACTTATCACTACAACATGAACAACTGTTAGAACTCAAAATAACAATACTCGATTGTTAGACAACTACGACTCGACGACAAGGTCGGACCAACCTTTTGCTCTGATACCAACTTTGTAACACCCCAATTCTACCCCAAGCAAATTATGCAAAATAAATCAGAGTTATAAAATTTCATTCATACAAACGAATCGGGACGTCACAAATTATTCTAACAAATTCATTTCATTTTCATCATGGATATATAATACTTTTAATAAAACATCGGATGAACCATCAACATAGCATCTTTAATAAAATAATTCAACAACTACGCAGCGAAATTCTTAATGACATCTCTAACAAAACAGCAACTTTGAATCATCTCATAAGTCATAATCAAATTGAAATTCAACAACTAAAAATCATCAATCAAAACAGCAAGCGTTCATCCTCCCGAGTGTTACATATCAGAGCAATGACACCGACTCGAACTATTAAAGGTATACAGCCTTCACTTGCGATTACCTGCACGTTACCAACATAAGGGCAACATTCAAACAGAATGAGTGAGATATCTAACAATATAATAAAGCGCATGATAATTAATATATTAAATTAGATCAGTAATATCACCATTTCTCATCTCATAATCAACAATAATTACAACATATATACTCATTCATCAACATCAAATACATTTCATTATTCAATCATATAATGCGACTCAAAACTATGCAAATGTATGTTGTACCATTGGAGCAGAACTCCCATCTCAAAAATCTTCCAATTAATAGAGGCGTCAACAAGGCAAAGCCTTCATCTCAAAATTTGCCAATCCAGGCCATCTCAACGAGTATAAGCTCCATCTCAAAAATGCAATGTATGCGACTCATCATGAATGTAATAACAACACCCAAGTTAACAACATTTCAAATCATCTCAATCATCTCAATCATCTCAAAACAACAACGTCTCAATCATCTCAAAACAAAAACATCTCAATCATCTCAAAACAACAACATCTCAATCATCTCAAAACAACAACATCTCAATCATCTCAAAACATCTATATTAACAACATCTCATAATTTATTAAACATCATTTATCATCACAAAATCATCGAACACAACTTCATCAATAACATCTCACCAATACTCAATTGTATATTAATAGTACAGTAATCCATCCTGTTATTCTGCTAATTTATATCGTTATTGTCACTAATCCTACTGTCATAATTCTAGCACCAGCCTCTAAACATATACTATTCATCATTCTGTCCAAAAATCAGCACAACGGTCATCTACGGGAATTAATTCTAAATCCTGCATTATCTACTAGGATTACACTTATTATTCTTCATTTAATCACCTAGAATAAAGCTCACCGCGTTAGCTAATCAACGCTTCGAACGACATATCAAACAACATCCTAAAACCCAAGTTACAGCAATTAAAAGCCAATTCTGTCAAAAACCAGACATTATGTATCGACATAAAACCTTATGGATCGACTCATCCTGCTTCATCTGTACACTATGAGTCGACACATCCTCCTTATGGATCGACTCATCCTGGCTTTAAATCACAGCATGTATCGACACATGCACCTCACCGGTCGACTCATCCTGAGTTTTGCAACTACCATGCATCGACGCATCCCCTCTTCGTGTCGACTCATCCTGAGTCTTACAGCCTTCATGTATCGACACATTCAGTTTGGGGTCGACACATCCTGCTACAGTCTGCATAATTTCTGTGTTTTCTTCTGTAATTTCACTACGAGAATTATGTTACAATCTTACAAACCTCATTATAAACATGATATTTCATCTCCTCACATTATCCTCTATTACCACATCGATCAAACGATATAATAACATCAGGAATTCATTAATCTTCATCATACATCATTCATAATACATCTAATTCAAGAACAAAACAACAATCCTCTAACCCTACATATCAAACATCATGAACCCAGTTATAAAGTCAGAACCCCACCCTTACCTTGGATTGAAGGTCTCTCTACAATTTCTGGGTTGAATCTTCGTTCTTGCCGTTTTCCACTTTTTCCAGCAGCTTCACGTTCTCTTCCAAATCCTTATTTTCTTCTACTGCTTCTTTCTTCTCTACCTTCTCACAGATAATAAAATAACCTAATATTCTATTATTCTTTAGTGGGCTCCAAACCTACACCCCCTTATTACTTCTACTCTCTCAAAATAAGTTCACATTAAATAATATTACACTTCTAATATTATTTCACCACATAATAATATATCTCTAATATTATTTCTCCGCTTAATATAATAAATCCAATTTAATTATAACGCAACTTCACAAATATTCCAAAAATAATTTAATTAAATAATTAATTAAATTACGGGCGTTACATACTTCCTTGAAAAAGAGTTCCATGAGTCCAAAAGGGGTCTGCTTATGCATCAAATGAGATATACTCTTGAAATATTAAAGAGGTGTGAGATGGAGCATTATAATTATGTCATTACACCAGTTGAGGCAAGGTTGCAGATGTCCAAGAATAAAGAGGAGCATAGCATAGATCCTACTCAATATAAAAGGTTGATTGGATCATTATGTTCCTTGTGCAATATGCGGCCATATTTGGTGTTTAGTGTCAGTATTGCGAGTAGATTCATGGAGAATCTGAAGGTGTCTCACTTGGGAACAGTCAAGAGAATCTTGAGATACATCAAGGGGTCTATTGGTTGCGGAATTCTCTTTCCCATAGCGGGTACGCGTGAAAAATGAAATTTGCTCGATTTTACTGATTTCAATTGGTGCAGAGATAAAGATAATCGTAAGTCTACAGTTGGATACATCTTTATGTTCGGTGGAGCACCAATCTCATAGTGCTCGAAGAAGGAACCGGTAGTTACACTCTCGTCATGTGAGGCCGAGTATATTGCGCTTCGTTATGTGCTTGCGAAGTTGAGTGGCTAATGAATCTATTGAAAGAGTTAGACAACAATGAGGGTGAAGTTGTCACACTCTTGATTGATAATGTTTTAGCTATTAATCTTGCTAAGAACTCAATTGCACATGGGAGGAGCAAGCACATTGAGATGAGGTTTCACTACATGAGGGAGCTTGTTAGTGAAGGCAAGTTAAGATTGGGATATTGTAAAAGTGAGGACCAAATTCTTAATTTTTAACTAAGGGGGTCACAAATAATGTGTTCAAGAGATTGAAGATGAGCATGGGCATAAAGAACTTGAAGTACTTGAATTAAGATGGTGTGTTGGATAAAATCTCAATAATTCAAATAATGTAACCGATTACAGCTGGTGAAAAATAACCAGATACACAAGACTTGATCTTACACATTAAAAATGGTCCTGACTTAACAATCTAATCCAATTTTAAATTTAAGTGGAATTTGTAGATTGACATCAAAATTTGTGTATTTTGTTGAAGAAAATTACTCTTTCAATTTGTTGATTTCAAAAAAAAAAAAACTATAAAAAATAGCATTTTACTTAATTTAGTTTAATGTCAACCTACTATGAAAAGGAGAGGTGTATTGTATGTCCAAAACTACCACCACAAAAGCCGCAGATAATATTATAAGAAAGGAGATTTTGACACAATGATAATCTAATTATGATCCTAATCATAATCTAATTATGATCCTAATCTTTTTTTAGTATTAGTTTATTGCATCGCGATAAGCATCCAAACATAAAATTATATCAAAATTTTAGAGAACATTTATCAAATTGTAGTCCTTATAGTTATGACACGTGTACCATAATGAATGAAATTTCCAGTCTGATAGAAAATTTATATTTTCTATTTTTTTTAATAAGCAATTTGTTTATAACCGAATTCGAATCTGAGACACAAACAAAATTGACAATAAACAAATTTTGGAAGCATAAGATGATTGAACTGAAACACACCAAACAGTAAAAAATCTGATTAAAAGTCTAACTTGTCACATAAATTAAAGAGTACACATGAGAAATCCTTGGATAAAAAACAAAAACAAAAAAGATAACAAAAGATAAAAAGAAGGGATAAAAATACACCCTTAGACACATAACATACATAATCATATTCATATTCATGCTTATCTACAGGTTTTGAGGACCCCATTATCATTTTGGCTTCTTTATCCATTCCAATTATTCCAAATACATAGGCCCCATTCAGAACGTGGAATTGAAAGCAAGAGGACAAAACCTTCAACAGGGACCAGTAGACAACAACAACATCATCAACAACTCATAAACAATAATTGAGGCCAAACATGTTCCATTCATTAAGCATTGCTCCTGAAGGATCCAAGAGCTTTTATTGCTGATCCTCTTAGAATGTATTGGTGGTAGATTGCAGCCACTGCAGCACCAATAAATGGTCCAACCCAATAAATCCACTGCAAGAACACCAACAACAAACGATCACCAAAATTAATTATAATCCTATAAAATCGACTTTTTACTTAAATGATTAATGTATCTGATCTATATATAAATATAATTATTCAATATCAATGAAAATCACAATGTGACTGGAAAAGATTAATATATCTGATCTATATATAAATATAATTATTCAATATCAATGAAAATCACAATGTGACTGGGTTGATATTACATTAACATTAACATTAACGTGGATTTCACCATAATTCTCTACAATATTTACCTGGTCATCCCAAGCTTTGTCGTTGTTGAAGATAACAGCGGGTCCGAAACTTCTAGCGGGGTTAATACCGGTTCCGGTAACGGGGATTGTTGCCAAGTGAACCATGAACACAGCAAATCCAATGGGAAGTGGTGCCAATACCTATAACATTAAATTTTGAAATTAAATTAGTTAACCATAAGAAACATTAAATTAAGCCAGAAAAAAGTGATTAATTGGATACTTACAGGAACATGAGAATCCCTAGCACTTCTTTTAGGGTCAGTAGCAGAGAAAACAGTGTAGACTAGCACAAAGGTACCAATAATCTCAGCACCCAAAGCAGTGCCTTTACTATAACCATCAGAAACAGTGTTAGCTCCTCCACCATATGTGTTGTAGTATGATTTTTGGAACCCCTTAGCTAGTCCAGCACCACAAATTGCCCCTAAACATTGTGCTATTATGTATAGTAGTGCCCTTACTAAAGACACCTTGCGTCCCACAAATAGTCCAAATGTCACTGCTGGATTTATGTGTCCTCCTGCAATTAATCAATATTACCAAATTAATTCACTTCAATTACAAATATATTTGGAGAGGACTTAAATAGGCAGCAGTCATGCTGACAAAATTCACTTAAATTCAGCTCTTATTGCTTAGATTCGTTTTTTATTATAAATTTCTCAATACCCAAAGTTTTTATTAGATCTACTAAAAGAGAAGCATAAAAATCAACTCTAATTGACAAATCCGTGTAAATCATTAATTAACCGATCAAATATATATGTTATTAGAGTTAATTAGATGTGACTAGTTGAAAATTGATTATGATTAGAATCTTTGTTCCAAAACATTAATCGTAACTAATTTGTAACTAACTCATAACTAACAATTTTGAAGTAATTGTAACGAACTTTGTAACTAGTTTAAACAAAATATTGAAGAGAGAATGGTTTCATACCAGAGATACCGGCGGTGCAGTAAACAAGGACGAAGATCATACCACCAAAAGCCCAAGCAATACCCAAAAGCCCAACACCATCACACTCAGTGTTACCGGTAATAGTGGTATCAGATTGTCTTTTGTAACCAATAATGGTCAAAACAGTGATGTAAAGAAAAAGAAGAGTTGCTACGAACTCTGCTATAACAGCTCTGTACAAAGACCATTTTCCAAACTCTGCGGAGTCAAAAAGTGGTGCTGGTGGTGGATCTTGGTAATCCTTAGCTGAGAATTCAGCACCTTGTTCTTGAACCTCAACATCTTTACCCATTTTTTGTGTGTGTTGTGTGTTATCTACTAGTTAATGGATGTGTGGTGTTTGAGGGGAAACATGGTATTTAAGGATTGAATAAAATTGAATTTTGGATATATTATTATAAATTTATTTGTTTGTACGTGGTGTATGAACAATGATGTTAATATATTATTGCCGACCTTTATTAGCTTGATTTCGCTTGCATGGTCCCACCCACTATGCTGCTACTATCCGGACCCTACCCTCCAACGACTCTTTATCACTCCTTTTTTGGGTCCACTCTTGTTTCTTCTTGCTAAATTACTTGTACAATATTTTTGAATTTCAAATAAAAATAACTACTCCTTGTAACAAAACAATAATACTCGTCATTGATAATTGTATAGAGATATATTGTATGGTATGGTAGAGGTTCGAAATCCTTACATATAAGTAATAAGTAATCATAACGGTTATAATTATATGAATGATTTACAGTGTTGCTATTACAATATGTGAGTATGAGTCATATTCACGTGTGTCAAATAATTTGAAGGTATAACGTAAAGAAAATTGTGACTATAACGTGGTAGAATTTTCTAGCATTATCCACGGTTGTGGTTGAGAAATGATAAGCATAAAAAATTGTAGGTATAAAAAAACATGCAGGATATATTATACTGGCAATGGAAGAATACTATCAATGATTGTTTTCAGTATTAAGTAATTGTTGATGTGATTAAAATAAGAGGAGAGGTAGTTGTCACTTTTGTTCGATGACAGGCTTGCCAGATGAACTTATCTGGACATACACAGCTAAATTATTATCAAATAGTCCTTTTTTTAAGGGGAAATAGTATCATATAGCTAGGAGGTACAAGACAAATAGGATTCAAGCTGAGGGTTAAATTCACATACAGCTTCCTTATGATTTCGAGTTCAGTAAGGTTTCAATATGACCTGCTCAATTTTGCGGTCCAATCGGGCCAAAAGACTATTGAACTTGAACCTCGTAATTGAAAAATCGTCTAGGAACACGCTTCTCGTTTCCATTTCGATCGTTGATATTCATTTAACGATCTTTTGTAATATAAGTTGGATCAATCAGGACGGTTCTAATTGTTACTTTTATATAAGTGTTATTCTAAGTCACGTTCACTTATTAACTAATTTACACTTCTCTCGTATATTAAATTAAGCAATGAAATATTAATCTTGCTGATACCCTTATGATTCAGATTCTCTATTCTAATATGGATTACTTATAAATGGCAATATTTAACACAGTAAAACAATCGCAATGAATGATTAAAATGTTGTATTTTAATCATAAAATTCATAACCACTTTAAAAGTCGCATAAATAATTAGATATGATGTACTGAGTAAAACTTTTGATACTGATATTAATAGTTAAACTCTAATCGCTTGTTTCATGGCTTCCTGTTACAACTTTATATTTTATGCATTTATTTGTACTTCAATCCTCCAACACGTTCAAAAGAGATGAAGAAAATGTTTAAACTATGAAACAAGAAATATTTACAGTTTTATGTTGTTTTATTTATATATTTTTCAGTTGTTTTATTGACCATAGACTTTTATCTTTGTTTCATTCCATAAAGTCCGGTTAGTGATGTATATACCACTTAATTATGATCATTATGTAAATTATTGCTATTTAATATGGAATTTTGATTGATTGCTTGCAATTAAAATTGTAAATAGATTGAACCGAGCTAGTTAGGCTTTGTCAAATTGACCTATTAAAAATATTAAAACTTAAGCTTAGTTTATACTGTGTCATGAGTTTATTTTTAGGTTTAAGTTTGATATTTAAAATGTTTGATTGACTTTTTTTTAATTAAATAAACTTTGTATTAATTCAAAAATGATTATTATACTGCAATCGTAAGGATCTAACCCACCAAATCGATTAAACTAACAAAAACATAACATATTACATCGTCAAACAAGTCATATATATTTTTAACTTTTCATTATATCATCCTCTATAAATTATCACATCTATAATACTCTCCACTATCTTTGTATTATCTACGGTTATACCAAAAGTCTTATCATTACGATACTTTCAAACTCCATATATAGTTTCAGTTGCAACCAAATTTAAGATGAAAGTCTTCTATCCTTTTTCTTTGATGTTCATGACTATCCATTTTAGCTCCTCCTGCCACTCTTTAGGTTGATGTATCACCTTGATCCAATCACGAATTTTCATCCATATGTTTTTTAAATCAGTGCAGGTATAAAACAAATGATCGAGATTCTCTTCTTTAGCACAGAAGAAACAAATGTTGTTATCTAACAATCTAAACCACAACAAGCCATCTTTAGTAAGAAGTCTATCATCACATGCTTGTCAAAGGGTCATAACTGGTCGAGGCCTCTCAACATTGCCACAAAACAGTCTATTACACATTACCTTCTCAAGATCCTCACTTCTCATCTTCAGGTACATAGTTTTCATGCTAAATCTACTTATGGTCGGCATTTGATCCCATTCACTCTGCATGGTATTCACTTGAGCTCTTTGCATGAGAATAACCTTCATGATCCAAGAGTGATTAGGATTATCCTGGATATCCATTATCTCGGCTCCTTTTAAATAGTAGGTATGCACCCACTTCACCCACAAATTGTCAGTTTTGTCACACAAACTCCAAATAAGCTTCATCATGGTAATATTATCCCAAGTGTGAAGATCAATAACGCTCAAGCCTCCGTACTTTCTTGGACTACAAAATTCATTCCAAATAATATGAATCTTTCTACTTTTTTTGGATTCACCAGTCCATAAAATCATTCCACAGATGATCTCAATCTTGTGAATAACATGTTTAGGCAATGGGAAGCATTACATCCAATAGTTTGCAATGATAAAATACACACTTTCTATGAGTTGCACATGACCTGCATAACTCAACAACTTACTACTCCAATGATTTATTTTTCCTACTATTTTATCCACAAGGATCAGATGGTGAGGAATAGATAAATGTTTGCTTGTGAGTGGCACCCCTAAGTATTTGAATGGGAGGGGACCCTCCATAAAACCTATCATCCTCTTAATACCCCCTATGTATGGTCGTCAAAACCACCAAAATAGATTTTACAATGGCTAGGATTCACCACTAGTCCAGTTGACTCTAAAATTTTTTTTAGGATTTCCATTACTAATTCTACTGACCTGAAATTTTCTCTAGCAAATAAGAGCACAACATCTGCAAAATTCAAGTTAGTAATATTTAGATTTTCACACTTTGTATGGTGGTTTATGTTAGGTCCATGGTTTTAGGATTGACAACAATTTTGCTAAAACATGGTTCTTATCTGATGTTGAGCAAGATGTCACAACATCTTGATTATGTGTCATGACAGGTTTTGTTGTCATGTGTTTCAGACAGATGTTGAGCAAGATATCTTGACATCGTGGCCTACTTTACAACAGGTGCTGCTATTATTGTTCCTTGAAGATTTAATTGAAAAATATGAGATTCTGGAGATTTTTAATTTCATACAGGTGCAGTAAATCAAGGAAATTTTAGGAACTGTGCAGATTGGATTTGGTTTCATAAAAAATGATCTTTGAGAATTTTTAGGAAATTTTGAAGATTTGTTTCTATTTTTGTGTGATGATCTTGCAGCTGATTTAAAAAGTGAAGATTGGATTTGATTGAAGAGTCCGAGCCCATACTGCAAGAGTCTATAAATAAGGACTTGCTAAACCTAAAAGAGTAAGCATTCACATTGATGAAACAATGTGTGCAATATAAGGGTTTTGGGCTTTTGAAGCCTTTTAAGTTCTTTGTGTTTTTGTTCTTTGTATGTCACTCATGTATCTTCTGATACATTGAGGTTGACTTATTATTCTTAGTTGAAGCTTTTAAGAAAAACTAAGTATTGTTCTCACTCATGAGCTTTTAAGCAAAGAGTTGAGTATTTCATTTGAAGTATAATCTTCTATTTGGTTATTTTGATTCTAGTCACGGGTTTGTGACTATAGGTATCACTGAGGTGATTGGTATGAAGTGAGAGGGGTATCTCATATCTAGAGGTTCTAGGTAGAAGTTGCACAAGGTAGTGATTAGGCGATAAGCTGTAAACTAGGGTTGGTTTAGTTTTGAATTAATACTATCATAGTAAATTTCCTTCCTGGCTTGGTAGCCTCATAATAGATGATGTTGCACTGAACTGGGTTAACAATTGATTGTGTTGTTTATTTTTCTACAATTTACTTTCTGCATAATCTCCTATTTTAGTAAGTATTTTTTGTCAGCAGATGATGTCATAAAATATATCTTGACATTGTATGGTGTTGGGACATTAGTCTTGACAAATGTATTGCAAGTGTCAGAATTTCAATTGGCATAAGAGCAGACACCCTGTTCTTTTTATTGGGTGAGCTCCATAGAGAATAATTTCTAGTACTATGGACACGGAAAAAGGATACAATAACAGACCACCTCTGTTAGATGGTTCAAATTATGACTGGTATAAGATTAGAATGGTGGCCTTTCTAAAATCTATGGACAACAAAGCTTGGAAGACTGTTTTGAAAGGATAGGATTATCTTGTTGTGAAGGACAAGGATGGGAATGTGTCTTTGAAGCTAGAGGAAGATTGGTCTAAAGACGATGATAAATTAGCTATTGGAAATTCCAAGGCTTTGAATTCTCTATTCAATAGAGTGGACAAGAATGTGTTCAGGTTGGTTAATACATGTACTGTAGCCAAAGATGCTTGGGAAATTCTAAGGACAACTCATTAAGGTACATCTAAAGTGAAAGTGTAAATACTTCAGCTTCTCACCTCTAAATTTGAAAATTTGAAGAAGAATGATGTTGAGACCATTCAGGAATATCATATGAAGATTCTTTAAATAGCAAATGCATATAGTGCCTTGGGAGAAAAAACGTCATAAGAAAAGATTGTTAGAAAGATTCTTAGGTCCTTACCTAGAAAATTTGAGATGAAGGTGACAGTCATGGAAGAAGCTGATAACATCAGCAACAT